CTTAGAAAAAAAGTGCTTGTTAAGCTCAATGTAGTTGTCAATACTTTTCAAGTGCTCTTTAATAGAGACTCGTATTTCATAAGTTCTTTTTCTATGCTAATAAACTGGTGAAAAGAAATGCGGAGTGAGATTGTGTAATAATGTCGACGTTTCGTCTGCAAAGCTCCCTCTCAGTGTTCGTTTTCGATTCCAATGCTGCTTACATTGCCGTATGCTCAGCTCGTCGTATCAGATAAGCGAAGTCAACGGTCGAACTGCGTTGTGAGAAATATTGAATAGAGCAGGCAAAACTCTCGAGAGAATCTACCAAATGTATTGCTTTCTTGTATTGAGAGAGTCGCATATTTTTTTTTACCTCTTTGCCAACACCACTAAACGTCACGCTCTAAATTTTTGCACGCCTTCTTTGAAAGCACTTGCATTGACGATCTCTATGCGCGTCCAAACCACATTCGTCAAGGGTATTTCTCTTCAAGCATACGCACGATCGAATAGAATTTCAGCTCGATTAGCATTGGTGAGATGCGCTAATAGGATGCTTACAACAATTGCTCGCATTACTCCTCAGTATCGTGACCCAGCGAACGTTGTTATCTGTTGTTTGAGAACAGGAATAGACGTTAGTGTACGAGTATATATGTGCGCGCGTATGTGAGAGTGTATGTTTGTTTGTGTGTGCTGTGTATATGTGTACGTGTGCGAAGCATGTCACCCTCATGCAGTCATATCTCGTTATAACCGCCCTCAGGGCCCAGCGATCACTAGGGCGGCTGGTCTACGCAGGGTGAATCCATGCAAACGCAGATTCGTCCAGTAGATCGGAATTAGGAAATGGATGAATCAAAGAGTAAGGAAGTCTCACGAGGCTTCGAAGTTAGCGATTGTCCAACTATACGAACTGATTCTATCTCGCTCTTGTCGTCTCACTTTATCATCACGTTTTAACGCCATTACCTCGTTAGCGTAATCACAGTAAACTTTCTTCCTACCTGCTATTGATGCTAGCTCTTATCCTGCCGATAAGGACTACTCTTATGTTAAGCTACTTTTCACTTCATTGTCAGAGTGGCATATTAACAATATCGTTGTTCGCTTACTCTCACCATGCATTCAACTAATGCATTTTATTTACCACAAAGATTTCGAAGAATATTTTTGTTTTCTTAGAAATTAAAAACGATTGAGTTTCTATTCGTTAGCTTAGCCGTATTCTCACAGAGAAGAATTCTATAGTACTGAACCAAGCAGCATAGTAGTTCAACATATTCAACGTTACCTTCCCTGTTTGAGTTTATTCTTAATTGCTTCTACGTGCATTCCACGCTTCCGATATCATTTTTTAGCCTTTTCTGTGCTTCGGTCCATGTTCTGGTTTCAATAAACTATCTGCAAAGCAACGATATTTTCATCCCACTTCTCTGCTTATAGAGCCTGAGAAATTTTTTGAAGGCCCTGAAAACTATTTGTAGTAGTGTGTTGAATGCGCGCATTCGTTGACACTATTTGTCTTTTGTCAGAAGTTTTCTCCGGACTTTCCAAAAATGTCTATTCTTTTTAATCCATCATTATTATTCAGCAGTGATGATCTGGATGTAGGTTCACCTGGTGAGACTAGAGCAATAACATTTGGTTGGGGGTAGCTCTTGCTAGTTAGACCAATTCACAAGTTACAAGTTACTTCTTCAACAAATTTACGATTTGAACGCCAGTGTAGTAGTGTAATTTTATAAATTGATCGACGCCGAGAAACATTACTTTTTTCTTTTATGTACATGCTATATTTAATATTGTTAGAAGAACACAATACCATACAACACTAGCTGACGTTTCGGCAGTATCGCCTTCTTAAGAGCCGCTTTTTTCGTGACTTCCAATGAGGAAGTTTAGAACAGTCACGAACAAAGCGGCTCTGAAGAAGGCGATACTGCCGAAACGTCAGCTAGTGTTGTATTGTATTGTGTTTATCTATGGAAGTAAATGTATGCTGTTTAAAAACCTCGCGATTGCTGAACAAGAGAACGACGCATTCATATTCCAATGCCGAGGTTACGAGAAAGTCGATCCTGGGAACTGTTGTTAGAAGTTCGTTTTTATAATACGGTAACGTTTCTCCTTTCATAGGGATTTCCAATCGTTTCCACTCAATGTGATTTTGTTCGTGAAATTAAGTACAACAGTCAACTTTTATATCCATAAGAGCTTGCATCATTAGATTTTGTACTGCTAATAAACACGGTTTGAATCACTATTTAAAGGAGCTACTTCCAGTACAGGAAAATGCCTAATACTTATTTTCTGCTAGTTTGTTAATTTTTTTTTGACTTTGATCTTCAGCGAATTTTAAAAAGTTGCTTTGAGTACGACACCATTATTCGGAATTGTTTTCAGTTTCAAAATCAAGTGAAACGATTAGAAATTAAATCAGGATGTCTGACGCTCTTTATGCTCCAGTTTCACACAATTTTTTCGTAATCGTTGGAGAAGCATCAACAACACGTTATGGAAGCTGCTTTTGCCTTGAGTTAGTGGATCTGATAGGAAATAGATCGCTCTGTTACAAACTCCTAGTTATTCATTCGACTCCGTCACAGAAGGGGCACACATGTTTTTCTAATTTTCTAAATCACACTATTCCTATTACTAATCTCTAAGACCTTATTTAATTGTAGCTAAGTTTTTCAACAAGTGTATGGTTTTTGTACGACGATAGTAGCATATTCGCCTTCATAATCGCTAATTCCGCTAATTGTCAAATTAAATGAATGTGAACTGGCAAGATTTTTGCTCAATCCTGTTAGCCGTCAATGTGGCCAGTAGGCCGCGTTCATTTAATGGACAGTAAGAGAATCACACTTTCCGTGCTAATGGACAGTAAGAGAATCACACTTTCCGTGCGAGGCTTTCTATTTTTACGTTTTTGGCCATATTATAGTCAGAGGTACTCGATGAGCCGTACCGCATAAGCTGAGTATTATCATCGATAGGTCAACGGGGTAGAGGTTAATATCGGTCACCAAAGGCAATGAACCATACCTTAGTACAGTTGCGCTTCAATGTAAACACATGATCACTTCTGGTTTGTATTCAAATCTCAGTCTTCCACATATACGCCACTGTTAGTTGTGCCGAATCGCCTATGTGAAATCCGTGATTTTCTCATGTACGGTTTGCAAATGATATATAGTGGTGTAAAATATGGTTTTCGACGTTTGAACCCAAATCCAACTCAATGTTGGATTGCGAAAAGTGATGATACAATTTGACCTTAAATTCGTGCTTATTTCTTTTATTTACCTGTCGTTTTCGAGGGCCGGTTTGCTTTTTGCCTACTTTTCTCTGCAACCTGAGTAGTACGGATCGCAGGATATCCTCCATTGACTGTCTCGCACCGTTCGTCCACAAATGCCTTCGGATTTGTGTGTTGCATTAGGAGCGAACTGAGAATTTTATCTCTTCCATGACTGTTGTTGAATACTGGTCGAGTTGATTGTCTTTGGAATGATGGAATAGCTCTGTTAGCGCGTTCTTAGGACTTGACTAGAGGCAGTCTCCCACCTTTATGGATCGGAGGGAGATTTTTTCAGACAGCAATAGTGTCGGTTTTGCCAACCCGAGAAGACTGCCTGGTGGCTTGGAAGCCGTGTCTTAGAATCGACCATAAATGTAAAACACGGCATCTCCAAGCAATGTTTATCCCACACTCTTTGCAAATTAGTAGAGACGCTACTTTGCATTTAAAACAATAGGTATTTGAATGGCTATTTATAAATTCTATCGTTTAAGGCGATTTATGAAAAACTACTTGTTAATTGTCGTTTTTTCTCCGGCTGTTTCTTAATGCAGTTATACTAAGTGCACGTAAAAGTTTTACGGCGTTCCAGCATTTCTTACATTATTTTACAAATTCATTGAGACCTAGATGGCGAAAAATTTAATCGCTTTCCACGCGCTCTTCTATTCCACTGCAATGAGGTTTTAAACCTCTATTGGCTGCTTTCGTTTTCTATTGTTGGGAAATCGTTGTCTCAGTAGACTACACAACTAAAACAATTGCCTACCGAAATTTTATTTTTCCATATATTTTGCTTTTCATCACGTCTTATATTGAACATAAATAAATCTGATTTGGAGTGCGTAGCCACGGTTTCTGTTAATAAACTCTTCAAAAGGCGCAGAGTGCACAATTTGGACCGTGAATCTTTCCTTAGTATCTGGTTTACGTAAGGCGAGTCGTCTTAGTCGGAGTTTATCCTCACGCTCACATACACAAGCGAGGACAGCAGCTTTGATTGTTATATTACACCAACTTTCCATGCCTCATTCCTTCGACCCACACGCCTCCTCGTTACAGTTCTATATGTTATGGATATGGTGTATATATGTAAGTGTGAAACTTTGAAATTCTTTAATCTTGCATGAGTGTTGTAAACCAGGTTAAATCATTTCAACACATCCTCTAACAAAACATACCCCATTCGAATGGCTTTTCTTTTAACGTATAACAAATTTATCATTGCGTCGATTTTCCATGTTTTCATCGTTTCAATATCACTTATGTCTGTTCCATTACTGCTGCTTGTAATAAGTATGGATTATTTCCGGAAACAAAAAAGCGTCTGTAAATAAAGAATTAGCAACGTTAGTTTACATGAGTTAGAGAAAAAAGGCGAAGAAAAACTGTGGGCGGGATACACTTTAAGATCTGGATAAGCATGTCAGCTGCAGATCCTCAATGTTTCAGCAAGAAAAGACTCAGTGGAAATCCGTGCACAAGAAAGACGTTTTTTGACTGATCGCTCTCATTTTGTTCTTTTACTTACTTTTCTTTATCGCGGTGCCATCATTCACAAGTTTGGAATTCTTTGTACCAGCGTAATATTTTCAGTATAAAACATAAATATGTGTCGATGACTGTTTTGTCGTGGTTAGTATTGGTTGGAGCCTTAGCGTCATTACGAGCTGACGAACGTATACCACTACATATCGGCGGTACGTTTCCAATGGAAGCAGGATCTGGAGGATGGGCTGGTGGACAGGTGGAATTTCAAAGTCATTAAGCTGAATAGGAGGAATATCGATACAGCATGATAATACTTGATAGATGGATAAAAAGGAAAAAATTTGATACAATTAAAAGGCCTGGATAATTATGCGCCGTCCGACATGGATAGAAATAAATGAATAGTCAATAACAAAATAAGCAAAGAAGATTAAAGCTCTCGGTGTTAGACAATTCCTCAGTGTACACCATGCATTCGACTTCATTGAGCATCGTTGTAGGTGAATGAATGCATATATGGCCTTTACAATGACTCGCGTGTCCTACCGATGCATCGACCAATGCTGCTGCCATCCCAAATAGGTATGGTAACAATTTGCCAGCCTCGGAAGGATGGAAGCGTTGGTGAGCCTTGTGCGCGGGGATCGATCCCGTGTATATTTCAGTGCTCCCACCGTCAATGCGCTGCATGAAATGAATATTGGATACGTATAGTATACGTCCAACTGAGTTAGAAAACGGGCAGAACGATGCTATTTACTGTTTTCATCTAAATGGATGCCAATAAATCGAATTTCTGAACAATCTTGATCTAAAGGAATAGATCGGAAACGAACCCGTTCTTCAAGAAGAAAAATCCAATAATTGTTGGAGATCTGTGCATAATGTGTCCTATCAACATTTCGATGCCATGCAAGCTCACATTGTATGAATAAGTACTATAGCAACATTTTCTTGTTTATTTCCATTAAGATCTTCTAAATTCTGTTAAGGCATGTCTTCCTGCCGTACAGATGGCCTTAGAGGATGTAAACAATAGGCCTGATGTGCTACCGGGTTACGTCCTTCATATGAATACCAGTAATTCAAAGGTAATTCATGACATCTGCATAGTTTATGTAAATCATCTTAGTTAAAAAGAAATTCTGATTTCAGTGCCAAGCTGGCCTGGCCACGCAACAATTGTATGACTTACTGTATACACCTCCAGCAAAGTTAATGTTACTAGCTGGTTGTTCTCCAGTTACTACTGTGATAGCCGAATCGGCCCCTGTTTGGAAACTCGTAGTGGTAAGTACTCGTAGTGGCTTTGCTGTTATTTGGAAAGTTTGCTGGCTGTTAAAGTAATCATCGTTTTTTTGTGTTGTGCTATTGTGTACTACGTTCATTGGACGACTGTTGGTTCCGTTTTCAGTTTACTAGAAATGAACTACCGAAACCTTTCTAAATTTTACAAAGAATTTTCTCATATAAATCTTTATCGCAAGATCTAGTCACTCGGATTTATTTACTGTAACACAAATCGTTGTTTTCCCATTACTTGCTATACATTCACATATAAAGGCAGCAGTTAACATCACAGTCCTCCATTTTCTCTTCGAGCTTGGCAGCCTGTTTACTTAAGTGATTATCTCAATGCGTCCCTATTGTACTGTTTGTTGTGTGTGCGCACTTTTTCCTCTTTTTTTTAAACAAATCTCTTTCCCTATGTGTGGACGGTGGCACATAAATAAACAATGAAGCACTCGGCTAAAGACCCACTGTGACCTACCGATGTATCGAGCCAGTGCTGCTCTCCTTCAGACAAGTATGGTATCAGTTTGCCGATTTGCCAACCCCGGAGGAATGGAAGACTTGGTGAGCTTGGAGGTGTGGGGATCGATCCTATGTGTATTGCAGGGCCCCTCCGACCACTACCCTACACGCGCACCTTCTTCTTCTAATGGTTTCTTGAGAAGTCGTTTTGTGTATATTTTTTGTGGCTAGTAGTAGTTTATCACTTATTTTGTGCTTTGTCCAACTCATACCATACCAAACATAATTGGAGTTTGAGCACAAGTTCTTTCGATTCCTTGATTATGGATTGAATTGATTAACGTCATACTCCCGTCCTTAAATTTGATGGATGTCGAGCTAGAATGATTTGATAGCCACTGATTATTGGTATTGATTTCTGAGGGTCAATTTGCTCACGACATTCTAACAGGAAGATAGAAGCAGAGTAGTGAGAAGCAGTAATTAAAGCATTCATTTTAGTTATTATGGAATTTACTTCAATGATTTAGTAAAAGAGAGTAAAAGAGATCTTAGCAATTTCTTCATTATTTCTGAATGACCCGTCTTTACTACGATTCTTGCTGTCTCTAGTGCATTTTCTATCTAATTGGTATGTCGGTTTGGTGGCAAGATTCTTCTCTTAGAACTCGAAAATTCTTTGCCTAACCATTCATAAGTTCTCACCATAGGCAGTTGTCGTCTTTTGTGAAATGATAATCGCCAAATTGCTACTTATAAGACGAAATGACTATTATTTCTGGAGTTCATCTTTTCGTTATTTGGTTTGTTTTCCTTTTTTATTTCGTTCCATTTTATTTGATCCGTCTTCACGTCTACTGTGCGGATCCCAGCACTTCTCACATCCAATTCGTTTTCTCGCATACATCGCTCACGAAGATCTTCCAAGTTTTTACGTGTGGGTTCGGTTGCTGTTTGAGGATTTCCATTTCATCTTGAATGTCGTTGAATGATGGTCGAGCAATTTTTCCTGGAATGCTGAGGTCCATGAGGAGGCCAGGCTGGATCTCTCCCATTTGGGTTGCAGAGAGTGATTTTTTCTGGAGAAGTCCTGCACCAATTTCCCTACCTCAGGCGGATGAGAGGAGTGGTTAGCCCGGAGCGGAATCGAACTAGTACCATGGTCATGATAACAGACATCACTACTACAGTGCTGTCCGCCCCCTCGTTTATTTGGTTTGCAGATAAAAATATTGAACCTTGGATCACCACCAATGATAGTGTTTGAATACTGAACTCATCACTTTTCTACTCAGCTCAACATTCAATAATGTCCCTGGCCGCAAGGTACCAGATTATTAGGGTAGGGTGATCCCACGTGCTTGCAAATACCCCTAGTAAGGCAGGTATGAATATGTATTATTGTACACGGATGATATAAATTAATTCTTCCCACCGGAGATAGGGAGCCCGTTCCGCAAATGGTCCTTCGTCTCAAAGCAATTACATGATCACGTTTTCCGTTTTAAATGGTTCTCTCCACCACCTGGAGATGTGCCACGTGGTTCCTTAACAGAGTTCCAGGTTTCTCATAAGATGAAAACCCCTTAGGTGAGCATGGTAATGTTATGTCTCCAATAAAAATACCTTTAAAATATCGCTACAAGGAGGGTGAGCAGTGTTCAAGGCTGTCTAGGAGAACTGTTTACAAATTTCTCGAAAAGTGTGTTTAATGTGCTCACTACCGTGTGACAGGTCAGGTTTCCACCAGTCTGCTCTGTCAGTCCGATAAATTTTTTTAAAATTAAACAAACGCTTCAAAATATGATAAGATGCTGTGATAAGGGTTTTTCACCAGTTTGCATTGTGGCATGTATCCTACATGAATTTTTTCGTTCACAATACTACGTGTATTTTCACTCCAGTTTGTTTTAGCATAGAAACGGATCTGACTTCCTATAAATTGATAGAAAATGTGGCACACCTACTATCATAGAGGACCTTGAATCTAATGACTGCACGATGCGCCAGAAATTATCAAATACTTGCAGAAGCAATCAAATTATTCAAAAAAATGTTTTCTGTTACACTTGGACTCAAAATGTATGTCCAGACTCTATAAATCAATAGGTTACCAGCTTTTCTTAGTAGTGTAAGGTGCTCTAGACTCACGTCATGAAATAAAAAAGGATATGGTCTCAGAGTGAGAGTTATGGAATAGGTAGAAAAATGTCTATCATTTGTAGGGTTAATTTAAGAGATAAAGCTTTTTGTAATCTTTCATATTTTCGGTCTCCTATGGTGCCAGCTCTCCAGCATTATCCAATAGGGAGCGATTTCCAACCCTGTTTCGCACACATCCGTCGGCGAACATGCAGAATCCAACACGGTGAGTGGTGGTGATATTTTGAAGACGAACGGCTATCGCAGTAGGTCACTAGGAGGTGGCTTAATCAGAACGCCTCGTATATTCCACGAATAGTTTATTGTGACAAAATTTTCTCCTTTCAGGGTGAGACTGTTCGAAAAGTTTCGCTGGAGGAAAATAACGATCCTGCAGTCCGTGGAAGAAGTATTCACATCGACCGCGAAGGATCTGGAGGTAACATGAAGAGAAGTGGTGACAAAATTTAGTGTACTATAATCAAAGCAGAGCGATAGAACTGAGTGCAGGAGGCACAAAGATGTGAAGTGTTCTGTGTTCATTCATGTCCAGGTGATATAAACTTCGAGCGCCTAATTCATAGTTTCCGACATGTTTTCTCACTACTGAATATTTACGGCATATTTGACAGAAGTGAAATACTTTAGTTTCGATAGGAAGCGTCGTTTGCCGCACGTCTAACTTTGGCGCATACCATACAAATATCCATTATATTAATAGTAACAACGTGATTTGCATGAGTATAAGGTCGAGTGAATAAATGGATCTAAAAGTGAGGAGATCATTGTTCACGTTTAAGGCACTCGGCCGACGGAAAGGAATTCGCGTCGAACGGCAAAGCTTCTACGGTGACCCTACGGATGCAATGAAGACGCTACGTCGTCAGGACGCTCGTGTGATTGTTGGACTGTTCTACGTGACTGAAGCTAGAAAAGTTCTTTGTCAGGTAAGCAAAGCGACGTAGCTTGAGGTATCTCGCCAAGTTGATTTACCGGCCCAAAACACGAAGGCTTCATGAGGTGGATCACGAAATTCAAGATCTTAGTCAAGATCAAATGAAGCAGAAATTTCTGAAATAAAGTCGGATGCGAAAAGCACCCATGTTCATCAGCTTCATGGCTAAGTATAATTTCTTTGTGAAAGCTTATATTTTTTGAGGATTTCTTTTAATTTTCGACTTTTGAACTTGTTACATTAAACGTGGTAGGTTTAGGGTTCCGATTTTGGCAAATAGGTTTTCTTCTAATGGAAGTTGTTCTAATGAAAGTCTGACAAGTTGTTTTCTCTCCAGTTTGAAGATATGTCGATAACACTTCTAATCTCGGGGGATGGCACGCGTTCCTTTCTAATCTTCGTCTGTTACCATAATTGCAGCATCTCGTCGCTATCACTCAACTAGAGCACAGACCATTGGTTCATTGCTGAGCAAGCGATACTCAGGCACACATTGCCGCCCGAAGATAAGTCTATTTGTGGCGCTACGCTCGTGGTGGTCCTGATTAAGTAAATCGTTGAACAACTCCCTAGTCGTTCATAGTATGCATAGTTTAAGATCTCTTCTCTGCCTCCTTTTCTCTGGATTTAATTCAGAATTTCTGAAAGTTGGAAGTAGTAGATCAAAAAAGGACAAAGAGGTGGGACTGTGACACCACAGGATATGTATCTGAACGACGCTGAACATTGAATTTGGTGTTTCAGCAGCGTTTTTTGTTAACAATTCCATTTTGTTATTTACTGCCTACTCTTTTTAACGGCAGGGTATACGTTGTGGAATGTAACTTCAATGATGCTGAGATATTTGCAAAACTCCGGGCTGTAGGTGTATGCGGTGGGGAACGAACGCGCTATTGTCCTTTCCGGGGAGTAGCGCGTTCAGCACCACACCACACGGGTCCTTCGTTTCGCCTGTCTCTCAGCTAGTTCTATCGATCTTTTGCTATCAGCAATCACCCTTCAGCGGGATTGATCTGGGGGCCCAAATTGGCAACGAACCCAATCAAGCTGATTGTAATAGTGTGTTCGTTCCCTACCATAGACACCTGCGGTCCGGAGTTTCGCAAATATCTCAGCATCATTGGGACTTTTTATTATGGTGTGTAGTCATATTCACATCATTTCATGTCCAAGCACTTTTAGACTTGAGTCGGAATTCGTAGTTCTCTCTATTAAACTTACGGCGATATATAAAGAGCACAACTCCGCCTCACTGCAAGTTCATAAAACGAACCATTTCTTATTTTTCATGGCTCGACATCATGCATTATACTGGTCTGAGGAAGTCTTCTTTTTGAATTCGTTTCTTTTCGTCCATCCTCCAATAAGGTTTTGTGATTGGTTATCGCTTAAGCAAATGCTTGGAGATTTTGTGAGAACTTTCACAAATTCCGTTAGAAGTTGCAGAATTTCCAGGAAATCTGCAATTTTGAAAAAGCCGTGTTAGAACATTTCCTGGTTTTCGACGCAGGAAGCCACCAGTGTTCTGGATCTGGATCAGAGCGAGCTTCTGAGAAAATTCTGTTCGGAATTCTGCGATCCTGTAGTGATGCGAGGGTTGATCGGCCCATTATATGGTTGAACTAGGAAACAGTTGTGCACCAATTAAACAGCATCGCTACCACTATGCTATTTGCGACACAAAGTGAATTAAGAATAACTAAGCGAGCACGACGATGTTGCGTAATACTGAGATATGGTCAATTTGGTGTGATGGGAGAATTTACAGTTAAGACAAAGAGAAGTTCCCAAAAAAAAGTTTTTAGGCCTATCATCACAAGCTTTACGGCCGCAAATACACATGGTTCTTCATTGGATGGTATGCGGATACGTGGTATGTTCCTCCAGTTGAGGAACACCTCAATTGTACTGTGGAACAGGTTTTGTGCAAAATCCTTTTAAAATAAGTCTGCAGCTATACCCTGTGTGAATATTTGTGCGCTTCTGATTCTACCTGATTTTTTCGGCCATAGAAAGAAGAAGGACTAAAAAATTGGAAACTTCGATTTTTGTAAAGCTTCGTGAATGTATAACGGTTTTGTAAAGAGTTTTACAAAAAGATCAGTGATTATCTCTTCTCTGCCGCGCATTTCTTGTGGTAACATGATTAACTGAACTGACGAAACTGAAAGGAAAAATGTGTTATTGTTGAAAATAAAATTTTGCAAAATTTTACATCTGGTTTGCGAAATTATTTAGATGGTTGAGGCCGCACAGTATCACTTCACCACAGAGAGCGTTATGCTATCTCGAGATGAAAATGCTACCATTTCGGGAATGACCGGCAAGGAATTTCAAGCACGACTAACGGCGATGCTTTCGCCAGATTCTGACCCTGCAAATACTGGCGGATTCCCTGAAGCACCACTTGCATATGATGCCGTATGGTACGTTGCCACATTTTTTTTCAAAAATTTCTATGCTTTGTTTTTCGGATGAAGTGCTCCCCAATGCGATCATGCACCACGTCATGGATGTTAGTTAGGAGTTCTCACCTATTGAACAATATTTCATTCCTCATTCAAAATTAGTTTGGCTATCGTTTTTCTTTTTAGATGAAAGCGTGTTTTACTGTTCTATCTTTGAATGCAATCTCAAGAATAAAGCGCCAACTATTATATAGAAGTATTAATGTAGTCTAAACGAATTTGAAATAGTAACTAAAACGAAAAAAGTAGCTTTTTGTCTTTTTGAGGAATTTGTCGATTTGTCGAATTCACCATTTTGACATGCTCGTATAGCAAAGAGTAAAGTAAAACTCTCGGCGTTGATCAATCCCTGAGGGTGCGTCATGCAGTCGACTTCATTAACTATCGCTGGCGGTGATTGAATGCATATCTGGCCTTCATAATGACTCGCAGTGGCCTACCGATGCGTCGAGCCAGTGCTGCTGTCCTTCCAGAGAAGTATGGCACCAAGTTGCCGACCCCTGAGGGATGAAAAGCTTGGTGGGCCATGGGCATGGGGATCGATTTCACGTGTGTGTATCAAGTGGCGCCTCCAGCCACTGTGCTCGTATAATAAATTACAATGAATTCGGCGATGGTTAATCCCTCGGGATATGCCTTTTATTTGTCTCGATCACACAACACATCATAGAAGTGAGAAGTGATCGAATACATATTAGTCCTGTAAAGTGCTTGCTGTGTCCTAGCGATGTAGGGGGTCAACGCTCTTATCCTCCAAGACATGCCTGGCACGAGTTCGCGGATCTTATAGTGATGGCAGGATTACTTTGCCTAAGGCGTATAGTCGAACCAAAACCGACCATGAATGTTTTGCAGGACACGTCTAACCTTGAGCTTGCTACATTCGTTCCTTATTACACTTATTAGTAGCAGATAATAAGTTTTAAATAGGATGTAGAACTTCAGCAGAAGTGCTGCCTACGATGGCGTGAGAAACAGTCGACCTTTGAATGCTCCTTATTCCACTAATTTAACCCATTCAGTTCCAAAGTTGTGTTCGAAGTGCATATTGTTTTAACATTTTTTAAAATTATGTTGAAGACAAAAACGCATGAAGCACAATGGACAGCGTTCATTAGGCTATTATTGCACTACCGCAACGGCTAGATCAGCAATCATTCGCACGTACACTTTTGTATGCTAGGCAGGAGCAAGGAACAGATTTTTACTGTGGTTAGAGAAAGGAAATTCAATCGTGCCTTTGTCTTTTGTTTTTCACAAACGACACGTGTACTGAACTTTTACTTCGAGTTCTTTTCTAATTTGAGCTCTTAGGGCTTTGGCGCTTGCATTCAACTGTACTCGGAATCGTCTACCGTCCAATATTCGACTAGAGCAGTTCACCTACGACAATCAATTGATGGCTGACATTTTGTTTGAATGCGTGAAAAATACACTGTTCAAAGGTGTTTCGGTAAATATGTTTCCATATCGTTCTTTTTATAGTTCTTCATTCTTTTTGAATTAGAGAGAACGCTTTTCCGAAAACCAGGAATACCTCACAGACATGCTGTACCAAACCTGCCTTCATCGCACATAGCTCCAAAAATTTAATGAAAATCAGCTTTTCCTATTTTGCTCGTCGGCATGTTATTTTACAGAAACTATCGCGTTGAAGTAAATATTATGATTCACCATGTTACGGCACCAAGCTTTGTTCCAATTAGCACTGAAAAAAATTCATTGAATTTTAGGGGAAAGTGATGTTTTCTGATTCTGGAGATCGAATCGCCCGCACACAAATTGAACAAATGCAAAGTGAGTGAGGATTCTGTGTTTGTTCACACCTTCGCTATCCATAGACCAAACATTTGACGTATCAATGGAGTTCTGTTATGAATTTCGAAAGCAGTTTAGATGGAAAGTACGTTGTTATGGGGTTCTATGATACCACAACGCAAGAATTGGAATGGTATGGAAAGGAGAAATGGTACTCGAGTAAAGGTCCGCCGCCAGATTCAACAATCGTGCGAGAATCCATTCTAACTGTTGCCAATGAGGTATTTTACCAACCTTATAATTTTCAACGTATATTAGTAGTCAGAGAGCACATTACAAGAAGTCAAACACAATGTTGGTTTCTATGATTACGAAACGTTATGAAGAATATGAAGAGAATAGAAAATATGCAGTAAAAATGCGTTAAGAAAGTAACTGACAACAGAACCATAAGTGAAGAGAAATTTTCTCAGTTAACATATTGTTGAAGGATATTTTCTTAATGTGTGAACCTGCCTCTGATCCCTAGCAGGCTCATAAAAGCGCATTGCATATGAACTTATAGACTTTCATGCTGTAGCCGTTATTCATGAACTACTACGATAATACCACAATGATGCTGAGATATTTGCAAAACTCAAATCCTAGACTGGATTTGTACCCGTGATTACTATTCCCGTGGGCTCACATGTTACCCACTGCACCACTGGTACACCACAAATCGGACATGAACCAAGTAGGCCGAGGTTGCAGTCGAAATCACAAAGTGTCTTTTTGTGATTCCCAGATCATTTCCGTTGGTGAGTGATTGCTCATGTCACCGTTAGTGAAGGATACTGGCTGAGAGAAAAGTAAATCGAAGGTCTCAGTGGTGCAGTGGGTGAGACATAGAACAGCAGGCGAGTTAGTCTCGGGTTCGAATCTGGCCTAGGGACTGCTTTTGCAAATATCTATGCATCATTGTGGTTGTTTTTCCATAGTATCCTGTCTTGGAACAATAATAGGCTGTAAATAAAAAGTTATACATTGGTGCGACACTGTTCTTGTTTCAGCTTTATTACTCCGTCGCCGTCTTTGCACTTATCGGGCTTGCTCTAGCGTTAGGCACTTTCATCTTCAACAATAAGTATTCTTTTCGCAGGTATGTTCTTCCCTGTTTTACCGTCATTATTAAGAATTTTTGCTTTGACATGTCAAAGACCTTTAGAGGTTTTGTCAAATTAGTCTCTAGTTATAAACCACTCTTTTAACTTGTAATAATAGCGCTCAATTGTTATAATGTTATAATGTTACTGTTAATGTTGTCACTTAATGTTATAATTCTTGTTAGAAATTTCAGCAGCAAGTTTTGCCAAAATTTGTTGTTTTTAAAGGGCGACCACTATGAAAGAACTCCGGCGGGAATGTTGGAATGCGTTCATTTTTGCTTTAGGAGGAAAGATAGAAAAGATACATTGTTTCCGTTCATTCTATTCCTTTCTCACTCCATAAGGAATGGAAATTGTAAAATCCGAAAAGGAATCGAAATTTTTGAATTGAAAACATTGCGCCACAATCCGCTATAGTCATTTCGATTAGCTTGCATAGTTCAACATAAATATCTAATTACAAGGGACCATACATTTTCGCAATGTGGGCTTGTGGCATTTCAGGATTGTAGTTCATTCTCAACCTCAGTGCAATAACATAATGATCACTGGTTGTTCGTTGTGCATCGCTTCACTGTTTCTTATGGGTCTACCATCCGAAGGTATTACCCTGCCTCAATCAGCATTCCCTATACTATGTCACGTAAGTGCTACTCTTTATTCCACAACCGACATCAATAACGCAAGAAAGCTATGCTTGCGTGAAGAGGACGGTGATTTTTGTTTTGCTTCATTGCAAATGAATGCAAGGAAAAAATCGGGAACATCAGTTTTCCACAACTTCCATGAAATCACCTTTATGTTCAATATTTTGACGGGTGGATATTGATGTCTGGTCTTCTCATGGAAGTTAGATAGTGTAACATGTGGTTGACTGGACCTTAGACATTAGGCGTTGTTAGACCATCTTCTCGGCCTCTCTCGTACACTTTATCATCACAGTCTTCTTACTGAATAAGCTGCAGAATACAACTCATTAACCATGAAGGAGTACTGATGAAAGTTATCGGAAATCTATAATAGCATAATTGTTCTCATAAATCTCTAACTGGCTTTAGTAGATAGATACGTAGACGTACACACCAACCATCATGGCTTCAGTACATCTGCGAACGCATATGAGGTTTGACATCAATACCTACATTACATCCTCTACCGAAGTGAATGGCGCTCACGTTACAATGACTCCAAGCTTTTCAGCTCACATTGCAATGACTCCAAGCTTTTGATTTTATCTGCGCCACTCCCCAAATTTGTGTAGTCTTTTATCGGCGACTCAGTCGTTGCTACAATTTTTCCCTACTAGACGTTTTTTATAATGTTCTTTATAACGAAGCCAATTCTCCTATACACAACGACATTCGTCTGTGCAGTGTTGAATGCATTTTTGTAGTCCACGGAGCTCGAAATTAGGAGAAGTTTCTCAATGGACTTCTAAACACCAGCCATACGAAAAAAAACATTTCGTAATTATTCATATCCTATAAATCTTCGGAAAAACTTGTGATTATCGCCCCGCTGAACTTAGTTGGCACTATTTGGTGCCCATAGTCTTCTTATAACACGGACATTGCAGACGACGTTTAGGTGAAAAGTCACTGCCTCAGTTTTGACGAACGGTGAGAGTGCAAAAAGGCGATTCCGTCTTCATTTTGTGATAACAGTGCATCTACAAAAGCCATGAGTGCTCTATCGTCAATCTAGCTTAGTGGCGTATTCTTTGTCCTTTTCCCTTGCAACATTATCGCAAATTCAAGGTGGGGTCAACTGCGCTGGGAGGGTTTCTGTGATGAAGTATCGGTGCTAAGTGTTCGCGTATTTTATGCGCATATATAAATCAATCATCATTGTACATCCATCTTCCCTTCATCCAAAACCTTGGTATAGATTGATAAATAGATGCTATATTGTTTTTCATCGGCCCTAGTATCCTGCCCCAGGTATTGATTGCTACTTGAATTGTGTCACCTGCGTATCTCGAAACACCTAGGGGAATGCACTTCGAGGTCTTTTATCAAGCAACAAGACAAACTGAGTTCTAATCACTCCTCTTCAGTATGGATTCGAAGATTCTTCTAAGTCTTAGTTGCCTATGAAATTAGAAGCTGCTCACTAGATGACAAAACCACTCTGTGCAAGGCAACCTATGAATTGTTTGGTCTTTAGGTTCAACAAAAGTCTAAACTCCTTTTCGACAACGAAAACTGCTTAGGTGATGAGGACCAGCTGTGTATCCTAGGTTAACGGATCGGAATAGCTTCTAAGAATTTTCGTCCAACTGAACAGTGAAATAGATTACTTCACTATTATAATGCTGAAACCAAAGAAATATCGGAATGCGGGAAGAACAATGAGCAGAGATATCGTGCAAGAAGCGCTTGGTCGCTTGTTGAACCTATCCTAGGTGAGAATCTCGGAATGCTCTAGCAGGTCATCTCAGGATTTCATGGGCAGTAACGCTCGAAAAACATCTAACGATATCGACGAATAAGACAAGGTCATCAAGGACAATGAACCATTTGAAGGAACTGCTTGAATATGAGCAATGTTTCAAGACGGATGATATTAACGAATTATTAATTGTAATAGCACACACACACACACACACACACACAAATACAAGCAAACATTTAAGGAAAAGCACAAGAGACTTTTGAGGATGAATATGAAGTACGCTTTTTTTTCGTTTTCCAAGTTATTGCATTGAGTGCTGCGTGTTCAGTCTCGAATATCTATCTTGATGATTGGCTTCACTTTCGCGTACGGGTCGATGTTTGCCAAGGTGTGGATAGTACACCGGATGAGTGCCAACGAAAATCAACAACTTGCAAGCCAACAAAAAGTCGAGGTACCAATAGAAGACAATTGCAAGTTTATCATTTTTGTCTTCATAACGTAAGATTATTCCATTTTTATCAGCTCATACTGCCTTCATTTACTTAGTCGCTTAATTTGCTTTCTTCTGGCATTCATTCTTTAGATGGAATGTTATCATTGTCTTAGTAACTCTTTTATTTTGCAGTACAATCCATTACTGCGCACATATGACGAAAAGGTAAGGGATTCTCTCTACAAGCATCCGAGATATAAGACGAGAAAACTAATGAATTTTGTAGTCTTTGTGACCATTACGTCAATCCACAATCACTCATTTCAATTCTGCTCTTAAGTGAAGATTAGATTCACCAATATTTGCTCTTTCGATTGCTTCGATCACCTTCGTTTACATCTGTCCTTATTTCACCTTGCATAGTGGATTTATTGCTCATGTCATGATTGTTCACGATTTTGAAGCGCACGACTAGTGAGCAGTCATTATTCGCTTATTGTGCTTCCCATAAATCCGATTGAATAATCGTTCCACCTACTGTGTATCTCTATTGGGCTTGGTTCCAATCACATCAATAAAAACGAGCGTGGTTGAAGTATTTTGCAACTCTAAGCAAAAATCATCGCATTCATTGATGATCAAGTGTCCAGTGAACGCTTAGAGAGAAAGTCGGGCTTGTTGTAGGAGGATGGGTCTCCATGGGAGAGCATTCGAACTCTGATCGCTTCAGTGATCGGTCGTCAAGCATACATGGTTGCTGCACTACGCAAGGTGTCCAATAATGCATACGGCACTGTAGCAATCTCCAGACGAGTCAACATGCTCAATCAGGTCACAAAAATCACTCACACACCTACCTGCAACAACATGTCGTCGCCACCAACATGCAGCAAACACGAATACCGTGCTCCATGCATTCAAAACTCAATCTTGAAACGTCTGATAATGTCCGTTTGTAGACCACAAAGAAAGCGACACATGTTTCAGTCAGTCTCAGGCTGCAAAATTAGGTGTTCATAACACGTAATACTTCGTGCGTAGTCGCGTTTGTATCACTGCTTATCATCGACAGAGTTCAGCGTCATTTAGGATTAAGCGCTTGGTTTGCTATCCTCGAATTGTCTAGCGTATAACTAAAATTACTATTGTATAAAAAAGAGCTGGTCCCACGCAGTAATGATTGACAAAGAAATACTTTCGAGAAGAGAATTAAGATGGGTTTATTACTCACCAATAAATCTCCTTCTTTTAAGTGTGACATGTCTTTCGACCAATACCAATCCATTTGCAACTTCACACTGTGGTACTGTGTGGGATTTCCAGTACGCTGCAATGCGTGATATTGGTGGCGACGACGATGTTGACCGTTGTGCACTGTTCAACTTCCACGGTGTCTTCAACACTTGTGTCATAGTCGTAGCACTGTCTTCTGAGTACGATTTTGGATATGAATACACTTGTTTGAAAAGCATTACGCTAGTGTCCGTCTACTATTTCTAAGCCTAATCGTGTCCATATATGTTGTCTTTCATGTCTATTCACCAACCGCATGTCACACCTACTATGTCAAGCTCACTCCTCACATTTCTAACTTATGTATGCTACAATGTCTTTCGCATGGCTGTTACTGTTATATTTTTAAGTAGAATAGAATTCCGGTAACATGTCACCATACATGTGTATATGTATATGCGTATGTATACGTATATATGTATGTCTATACACACATATACATATACATATAAACTGCACGCTTCTTCTTCTCTCCTGGCAGACGTATAGTGAGTATTTAGTTAGTTTTGTTAGCAACTCTTTTAACCACCTTAATTTTTCAGCCTATTCTTCCTGGACAATTTTATGCGGTCATTGCACCATTTTTCGTCATTGATTTAGTTATTATTGTGTGTTGGATCGTTTTCGACCCTCTGCAACGAATTGAGCAACGTTTTCCATTGTTGGTTCGTTCTTAAGGTTTTTTAAAAATTTTTTATCGGCAAAGAAATTAATGAAAAGCGATGTTTACTTTTTATTTTCTGCTTACTACAATTTTTGCAGCAGGGTATTATGCGAAATACAACCACAACGATGCTGAGATATAAGTAAGGAAATAAACGAAGGCCCCGCCTGGTGTGGTGGTGAGCGCGTTATTCCCCGTAAAGGACAATAGCGCGTTCGTTCCTCACCGCAGACATCTGCGGTCCGAAGTTTTGCAAATATCTCAGCATCGTCGTGGTTGTATTTCGCATAATGAAAAACAGTTTGCAATACCACACGATGTGTTGTGTCATTTATTTTATTACCGTTTATTTTTAAACAGGAACCACCAGTAGGTAGCGATGATGACGTCATGTTATTGCCTATTTTGGAGCTATGTCAAAGCTCACAACAGGAAATCTGGATAGGTAGGTGCAAAAAACTTTGGTTTATTTTTCCTGAATATCGTTAATAAACGGGTGCAAAAAGTAACAGCGAGTTTAAAGACTTCCGCTATCCTTGTATACGAGCTCGTAACCATGCTTCAGTCAGCGATAACACAGTTTTCTGCTGTGCTAAAGAGAATAACTCTTTGTGATATCCAAAGTATCCAGTAGTGATAAGTACGCAAGTAAGTAAAGAAGATATATTATGGGATAACAGTTCTCTACCTTATGTGGGAGTCATTTTCATCAATAACTTGGTTATATACTGACTAAAACACAATATATCTCAATTTTCCAAATTATTGTTAACCAGGCCTTCATGAAATCAAACGACCAGTTGGCAGCCCGTGTTTTAAGTTAATATTGCGATTAAACCACAACGTTGCTGAGATATTTGCAAAACTCTGGACCGCAGGTGTCTATGGTGGGGAACCAACGCGCTATTGTCCTTTCCGGGGAGTTCGTTCCCCACCATAGACACCTGCGGTCCAGAGTTTTGCAAATATCTCAGCAACGTTGTGGTTGTATTTCGCTTAGTAACCTGCCATGAAAATTATAGAAGGCAGAAAACAAAACGTTAAACATTGCGATTAAAATTAAGCACCAGTTTTATGGAGCTACACCACGGTCTTACAACCACCAATTTCACTATTTCGATATGCGCAGTGCTCCTACATGCAAATTTTGTTCTCAGCTCTGTCACTTATGATGTTGACAAAAGCAAAGCTAAAACTTACTTCTTTCAACACTTTGTTAACTGATCACATTATCACCTAATGGACGGTGCGCATTCTACGCAATCATGCTCGGCGCTTTGCGTGGCTGGTGCGAGCTACATAGAAGTCATTTATTTTCGCGAGCAAAAACGCTTTCCACAGTTCTTGTAATAGATCGACAGCTTATCCAACGCAGATGCTGTGGTGAGCGTTGACAGGGGAAAACTTTATTCTACCACTAAAATTATAGAACAAATTTTTCCGAATCGAGTTGATTAACAAGTAAGTTGCCTACTAATTGCTATTATTTCATTTCTAGTCGCTGTGATGAATCATGGTTACTGTATGGAATGTAAAAATATGGAAATAAAGACTGCGAAAGTTACAAAACACTTCCAAATGCTAATAGCAATGTATTTGTATGATGAAATATGAATAGGGCAAAGCCTCTTATACAAATTTGCTGTGTTCACAACCCCTCAACTTCTCTAGCTATTGGAAAAATACCATTTATTTCCAAGGACACAGTAAGTGCTTAACGCCTAAAAAGTAGGCGTCCAACTATACAAAAGAGAGAAAACCGCTCGGACGCTATAACCAACAGAAAAAGCGAACACACAAGAGGAAATAGTTCTAATAGGTAATATCTCCATTTGTGGCGTTCATACAGTATTGAATCACTTAGTACTGGTTTTAATTGATCCTTATTGGTATGACATTCATCGGTTATCATCGACCAAAGCACATTTGTTTTACTGTGAAGAACGATGCGTACTTTGCCGTGGGTTTTGCATACTTGGCAGTTGTTTCAGATAACATGTCATAAGATTTTCTTAAAGTTCATTTTATAGACCTATGTGGTCTCCAGAACACATGGAAACAGTTTCTTGAAAGCGGTTTAAAGAAATTGAGAACCTTCACTAATAAAGGGCGTTTTACGGCAAAGTGTAAAGGTTTTTAATACTATAACTTGACAAACAACACTAACATTTCCTCTGGATGTTGTTCCCAGATTCATAGACTAGGAATTATATGAGTAGCGGTGGATGTCACCATGAGGAACTTTGAATTGGCTCAAAACTTTTACTAGAATTTTTTTTCACTTCTTTTCTTATGTTTCCTTAAAGGTTAGCTGCAGTTCTCTGAAGGCGTGATATTTCTTTCCACCAGAAGAAGAATATCTGAATTTTCTGGCACTCCTTGATAGGGTATAAGATGCAATTCTGAAAGATTATTGTGACGAGTAAATGTAGAAAACCACTTGTCCATTTAAATCAGTAGGATTTTTATCTTACCTAAAGATTGAAAAACATCTGTGAAATGCTGAATAGCAGCAAGCGCTTTCTACGGTGCTTATTGCTAAGTAGTATATGGTTAAATCTTCATAGTACCCAGGATCGACTTCCTATTAACCTCGGCACTGGATTACGAATTCGTCGGTTACTCTGTCAGTAATCGCGAGGTTGTTAAACAGCATACGTTTACTACCATACAATAACATACATACAATACAACCGTAGCTGACGTTTCGGCAGAATCGCGTTCTTCAGAGCCTGGAAAGGTACACTAATGCGCAACTGACTGAGTCAAACGCTTCAACAGCACATACAGAAAGATGATTGGTTGACTCTGACTATTCGTGTGTAGACGCGCACCTCTAACCACTGTGCTACACATGCCCTTAAATGAATGGCCGTGAATAACGAAAAATAGTACAAGTTCCACAGTCTGAAAAGCACAAAAATGTTGGCCCGTCTACACAGCTGTTGATCGGTCTAGCCTTGAATGATGATGGATTAGTTGACGCAACATCATCAGATGATACCAACTTGTGTTTAATAAGTAGGTATAAGACGGGACATGTTGGCTCAAAATCTTCATAATTAGCCATGTAGGACTTTTACATGTACGGTGGTGATGAAACATTTAAAGGTGCATAGGTGAAAATATCGAGGAATGTGCAGTTTCTGTTGTCTATTAAGTGATTAAATCTAAGCTCACCTAAGCAAGACGTGGCGAGTGAGGAATGTACACGTTCTTCCCTAGTTTTCTGGTATGGACAAGCATCGAAGTCCTAAGTATTACCCACAGTAAAAAGTAAACTAGCTCGATTTAGGCGAGGTAAATTTTTCATGTAACAAACACTGTACTCAATTCCGTTAGCTATCGAGTGACTGCAGCAGACAGCACTAACGTTTAAGTTCGTCGTTGTCATGTGTCGGTTTTGTTCAATACGCCTGGGTACACTGCGAGCACCATGTTTTTTTTTATATTAAGCTCATCATTCCACTCTTTCTAGCAAGATGAAAGTCATGGGTATCTCGAAGGGCTCATACCAATATACGTTCACTACTAGCTGCGCTCGTGGATGGAAATGTCGTCGATAAGGTGAATTAGACTGTTAGTGAATTAGCGATTTACTGAAACTTTCTCCTTCACACATACTGTGTGACGTAGTGTCACCGCATTATCGATTTTTTTCACTAAAAGTATAGAAAGTAGGATCGAAACCTACTGAGGGTGTTCAAATCTGGCTCGGCACTAGAAAAATACAACCTGACTAGTTACCATTGACTAAAGCGCATTTCGTTCGAATTGTTCTCTCAATGGCTCCGTTTCTTATTCCCGTTAGGTGATTTTTTTCATCTCCATCTATGATGTACAGCAAAGGGTTAATTCCCGTCGTTAGTCACGCAAGAGAATGAGTTCCACAGCATCCATAAGAACAGTCAAGAGAAAATATTTGTCACGCTGGAGTTTGCTGAGGCATAAGTGGTTGCATTCTCACCGAAAATAATAGAAAGGCACCCAAGGAATGTAATTCTTTTCGTTTTCCCTGAAGGAGCGCGATTTACCATGTGGCTGAATGCACGGAGGAATAAATCAAGTACAGTGGTGCTTGTCGAAGTTTCTCACTGATTGGCAGGATTACGTTTTACAAGTATGGTTGTCTTGATGCTGAACTTCTTCAGAACTTGACAGGTGCTCAGATATTTTGGCTCTAATATTAACGCCTGCGAATTCTTTAAACCTTGAATGTTCCAGAAATATCGTTTTGAGAAAATTATTAGCACAAAAAAAACCCGAGCAAGCACATACAGAGCGGCTACGGGAAATACTGATAGAATTGCAACCAGAGGCATTGCAAGCTCTTGTGATTTTAACCCTGAGCCGACGCGCGCCGTTTAATGTGCCCCTTCGAATGGAATGCGACCAATTTTTCGTCTGCTGCGGACTTCTTGGTTTTGTGAACAGTAAAGGTAATTTCTCAAAAAACTATTGTGTTCTGTGGGTTAGGAACATGACAGAATTGCAGAGGAGACTGCTCTATCGTTCTTTGGTAATGAATGATGTGTATGCTACTATTTAATACGTTACTATGGTCCATTTTGCAAATACATTGCTGTTAGCTCTTGAAAATACCTTGCGCCGTATGTTAAGTCAATTTGGATATTTTTATACTCACACATTCCATAAATTGATCATACTGATTTTTAATGAAGTAATATTTGTTAGCCAGATTAGTTAGTCATTGTTAGTCAATAAACTTTCTGGAGAAAGGTTTCTTGTCAATCATCAAGTGTAAAGAATTGCTTATTCTCACCCCTGTATTATAGAAAATAGTACTTTTACCTTCTTTTGATTAGTTATCAAATGGATATACATAGTGTGGTAAAAGAAATTCTAGAACGCACTAAACTAAAACTGTAGTGTCCACGCCGTCTTCAGATCCGAGCAAATATAAACACTATAGTGACCATACCGGGTGTTATGAGTGAAATATCGCTCATTTTAGAAAGAAAATACTGGACATGGATAAAATCAATGTGCAGTACTACACGTCGGATGCAGATTTTCAGAAATTCAACTTGTGGGAATTATGTCTAAGATGGCTCATTTCCTTGCACTTGTATTAGTCTAGTGACGCAAAGCACACAATTAAACACAGATCGATTGTTGGCGATATTTCGCTATGCGGAGCATGTTCACTCCTGCGAGCCAAAAATTATGAACACCGATGTTTCAATATACCGCTTCATTATTGGATGTCTTTCAGGGCTTGTGCTGGGCTACAAATGCCTGTTGCTGGTCTTTGGGTTGTTCTTGGCGTATGAATCTCGAAATCTCAAGATGCGCTACGTGAATGACTCGAGATTGGTTGGCTTAGCCATCTACAATGTGGCGATTCTCTCTTTGGTCACTGGTCCAGTGACCACGCTACTCATTCGCAGTCAAGCAAACGCCAATTTTGCATTTGTCGCTGTAACTGGTAAGTATTCCATTTAAAATAGCGTTTAATTAAGTTAAACAGCAATTAAATCAGGGATACGGCTTAATATATAGGAGGCGGAGAACAAATCTTTAAATTTCTGGTCTTGAAGATATATTCGATGTAAACCGCATTTCAGTCCACCGTAAGGCAATGCCTTTTGTACCTTACTTTGATGAACAGGAACAGAAACAGAAACTGGAGAGATAATTAAACCTCATGAATTTTTATTGATTAGAAACAATATTTGTGCTAGAGGCAGCAAAATTTTAAGATTTAGAAGAAATCGATCACGAGAACGAATACACTTTTTGTTTTAGTTTTGCTCTGTACGTATATATCACTTGGTCTTGTGTTTATTCCAAAACTGAGGTTCATCTGTCGCGTGCCGCACTCAGCCGATGAGGTAAGTTAGTATTGAAGGATAGAACGATTTCTCTCTTTAGGTTAACAGATACTGGTATAGAACTACAATAACAATTCGGAGAAAGACTGTTTCACCCTATATTGATAGGGAAGATCTCTCTACCTGTCTCTTTTACGCAGCGAATGATGCTTTGCAGTCCAAAAATTTTCACACTAACACAAGGAGAGGTGCGGAAACCGCTATAGTGAACGATGCCATGCAAGACGCACGTATTTGCTAGTTGACTCGTTCTGGAAACCGATCCTTTTATCACTCCAGCTTTAGCAAATTAGTAAAAAACTCGCCTGGTAAAACCTCTTTCTGAGATATAAAACCCGTGTTTATCACCCGGAACACATTTTGAAGAAGACATGATTCTCAAATGCACTGTAAGCTATCCATAGTTGTGAAGAGCTTCGTGGATGATAGATGCAAGACGGCGAAACGAATAAAGGAAGTGCTGAGATTAGCCCAATATGTTTGAAGACAGATTATATAAATGTGAAAAAGTTATAACACGAAATATTCTTAAAAATTCCTATGCGGCAAAATTTCCTTCTGGTGCTGAATCCATAGGAAAAATCAGGATCAAGCGTCAACATCTAAAGGTCATCGAGTATTTGCAAATCTAGTGTTCGTCATTCTTTAGATTAATTTAACACAGTTGTTTAGCTCTGAGATTGCTAAGCATACCAAAAATAAGCTCGTTTGTTTTTCTTTCGAGCCATTGTCACTAAGAATAGGCAAAGAGGAGCATTTTAGAAAACTAAAGAAACGGAAAGCGGTGGAAATTCTTGTAAATTTAAGCTCGAATATTTATTTGAGAGAATGGAAACGTCTGGAACATTCATATTTAAAATCTTCTAATAAAATAAAGCGAACAGCGGTTGTTCTTCCCAACTTTTAAGTTTCTTTATTTCTTGATAAATTCAGGTACATCCGAAAGGAAGTGATAATATGCGAGTTCTATCGAAGTCGGACCAGAAAATATACGAACATTTGCGAAGAGAAAACGAGACACTTCAAAGACAAATTGAAGAGGTATTTTAATTACAACTTTGCAAAGATCACGTATACCACTTCACCTGTCGCCTCGTTGTTAGTCAAGAGTCTCTAGCAGACGCCCTTACATTTCATTTCTGTCGTGCGCAAGAGTAACTCCATGGGTTCTACTCAGCCCAGGGACTCGTTGAGCACCATATTATTCTTCTAGGCTTTTGGTGAAGTAGTTTGATCATGGCGTCGGTGGTCACCCAACAGTAAGTTTGACATCCCAGGAATCCAATCGCTAACCGGCCTTGTTCATCAGTTGTCCTCCATAAGCGTTACGTTTCCGGCCTATATTATACTCAAGAATTGGGCGTCCACAGTGACGTCTATGTTGTTTGGTCGTTGACAAGATGGGACTTCAGAATCGCTCTCTCACTTCCGTGAAACGGAATGCACCTATCATTGTATTTTCGACTGCGAGCTCTATATCGATCTTTCGTACACGTGTAGAGACCATGTTTCTCACGCAGCCGGATGTGCTTTTTTCTCTTCACTATATCCTTGATGCTCTTGAAAACAGTGAAGCCTTACGCTTCCTTATGCCCAACTCTGGTGCTAAGTCGTTCATCATGTTGATTTCCTAACCAAGACATACGTAGCTGGTGCATAGGAGATATTCGTTTCGTTAGACATGGATAGAACTGCCGACCATCGATTTTCACTTCCATGTCGTCCCATTTCAATGTTTTCATGGCATTCTAGAGGGTAGGAGTAAATGGTTGATGATGATATAGATAGTATCGCCTTGCCTAACCACTATTTTGACATCTATGTTATCAACGTTGTAGAATGGCGATATCTTGGGTGTGGAATTTTTTACAGCTTACGAAGGGCCTTTATACCCTAAGTAGGGAAGAGAGGTAAAATGGTCTCTTGTACTCTCGCGTTACTTCATTGAGTCTTGTTATCCTGTGTATGTGTTTCATCGTAATCAATCTTCTCAAAGCCGTGCTTGTTCACATGGCTATCTTTCGTCCAGTGTTCTGTCAGTCCTGTTTAGAACGATTCGATCGAAAAGCTCGTAGATGACAGACAGTTAGTAGATTGGCAATTGTTGACGACACGTGGAGGACACACTTTTTGAACAGTAGCACGGTCTCACAGCTCTTCCATTGAGTAGGAACCTTGTATCCTAAAAGGTAACATGTGAAGAACCGAGCCAGTGTGTTCATGCGGACTGACGGAAGGTTCTTCAGCTGTTTACAATCTATCTTGCAGGAACTTGGTATTGTTCGGTTCTTCACCGACGAATTAGCATGTATAATTTTGGAATGGTGAATCGGTGGGACAACATATCGATCCTCCTCTACTCCATATGATGACAGGAGAGCATAGCTGTTGCAGAAATCCGAGTATTTACAGTGGTTGATTTTTTTCATCGCCTTTCTGGGAGCTGTAACTGTTTCGTGTAGGCATTGGAGAGTGCAATCATTTTGGTTTTGTGATTGCTGGGGCTTCTATGGGCTTTCTGAATATTTTTCCCAACCTCTTTTCGACCGTATTTGCTACTCTTCTCTCTTTAACATCTTCTTTTATCGCCTAACTGCACTGTTTTGTAAGTTCAGACGTGAGACAATTGCCTATACTTTGTGCTTTTCCACACCGGCGTATCAGTTCGAGTGTTTCTGAAGGTAGGCGTCATTTGATGACTTTCGAACTCTCAAATTTTATAGCGCTAACGTGAAGATGTTAAATGAGCCGTTTGTATTCCTCGTCGAAGCTATCAAAAACGGCGTCTTCTTAACAGCCAACTTATGAACTGAATAAATTCCGGTTTGTGGCGGTTTGACACTTCGTTCTCCGAATTTAACGGCTTTTCTACTTTCCGCAACAAATGAAATCTTGTACGAAAGAGAGGATGGTATGATCCCGTATAGAATTTTGAGACAACAACGACATTTCGTTTTCGTACTCTTCATTGGGAGACTCTCACACCAGGCGCTGAGAGCTGGGCTTTTGGAATTTAGAATAACCATGAATAGCCTTGGTTGTCATAATCAACCCAGACAGGAGCTCACCATCTTCGATCCTTTCTAATCAATGGGTTCAAATATGGTGTTCTTCACACGTTCATCTTTGTCCAGTCTTGTGTTTAAATGTCCAATGGTAGCCTTGAAAATTTATCGTCTTCTGTGTAAAACCTGTACAAATCCATATAGAATGCCTCGACTTCATCTTCTCCATAGTTTGATGGCGGTGCATGGAAACCAAAGATTGTCAGAGCCGGTAATGGTCCACATCTCTTCAGTGGTAAACCTTCAGTTCGGGTTGTTAGTTGTTCGAATGAATCCATGTTCATGGCCAAAATCGTGTTGACCAGAACGCCAACGTCGCCGACTCCTCTACTGTCGCTTGTTCCCGGGAACAGTTCTTTTCTGGTGTCAAAGATGGTGTTGAATAGATGGCGTCTTCTCCTCCTAGCCATTGCGATAACGTTATACCGTATCGGATAAGGATAAGGATCCTTATTGGCTAGTCAAGTCCTCTATCTAGGACTCGGATGCAAGTGAGTATGCGTTGTAAGTTGAGGTCACCTTAGTCGTAGAGGATTTAAGGCGGCCTAGAGTGGGCCTGTGATTTTAGCAGCCCGTCCCTATTCGTCTTACCCAACAACGCCGTATCGAAGTTTTCTCGAGGTGAGGGGATGATGCCGATTTATTTTAATGCGTTTATCATTTGATGCTAATGTATAACTTGCTGAGCTCTGAACGTGGAGGCTGTGTATATTCATGGGTAGCTTGCCACCAGCTTTTCCCATAGTGGACAGGGTAGCTTATTTGTTGAAGGATGCGCCGAATTGATTTGTTGAATGCAATCTGAATGTGGTAGGACACTCCCACGCACACATGCATTAATAATGCCTTGGTAAACACAAAAGCTATGTGCCGATTTGAAGCAGCAAAAACAGCGAGTGCATCCCATGGGTTCGCAAGCGTCTCTAGAAAACGCAGGGTTGCTCTTGGTCGTCGATTAACTCGCTTTCCGCCACCTTGGGCGAAAAAAAATGAGAAATTTGTTAAACTACAACAAACATGAGGAATTTCGGCACAGTTTGAACATGGACGTAATCTTCGGCTGTGGTGCACTCCTTTGAACGTTAATAATTTGTAGGCTAGTAAACTATCTATATCATAATGTCAGTTTTCATATTTACTAACTTATATTTAATTAGATAGATTCGCATAATCACTTAGAGTTTAGAAAGAGAAGCGAATACGACAATGCAAAGAGCGACTAAACTGTCTTCTGAGCAAGGATGATGAGTTGATATCGATTTCTGGAGCAGGAAATCACGCACAAAGTGTGTCGGGTATGGTTTCTCAGCATCTTCTTAGCTTAGGGCTACCATAACCTCTTAACTCGCTGAACATGAACGTCGTCACGTTCATCACTACGCAACGTTGTATTTTACTTCAGCATCTGTAAAGTCGTGAAAAATCTTCCCTTATCTTTATGAAACACATGACGCCACTTAGATCCCATTAATTCTTGGGCATAAACATGCCAAAGCGGTGAAGTGAACATTTTTATGTACCACTTCATGTAAAAAAGAAAAAAAATAAAATGACATCAACAACGTCGAGGTCATCCTCGATGAGTAATAATTCTAATAATCGAATTCTATTTCGCAAACATCTTACCGTACAATGAAAATTTTTTGCAGTAGATTCGGAGCAATGTTTGTCCTCTAAAACTTGTCCGTCGTTCATTTCTTTTTTGAATCCGCGTTTTGTAAGTGATGGTTCAGGGCTATTTTTAGGACCTAGTTGACAATAACAGAAGCATCTATATTGATTTGTTAATAACTTCATTATCAGTTGTTACTATGCTGTAATTAAGTCACAAACAGAAACAACGTGCTGATCAGCTTGAAATATATCTGGAATCAAATTCGCCTTATAGAATTTTCTTGGGATAGTTTAGTTCACAAATATCAATATCCATGAAAACGCATGAACTGGACCGTGCACCTCAGGTCTGCTGCGCAGAAAATCATTTTATGATTAAACTTTAATATTGCAAAAAACAATCAGCATTAAGGAAACAGTGGTAACATGTCCAAGGAATGAAAAACAGTGTAAGCCCAAAAAAAAAGCGATGAAAGATTTCGAAACTTGTTTAGTGTAATAACTATAAGAACACGTGTTTGAACTGGTTCTTAGAAATGTCGTTTGGTTTAGAAGACAAAGAAACGCACTCTACTCCAACAACACTTACAACAACTGCATTGATTGAGGTACAGCCCAATAATGACAATACGGGTGAGTAGTGAACGTTTAGAGGACTTTTTTTTTCATCGATAACGATAAGTAACAGGACATACTGATCCATACATACACCATTTGTTGACATTCTTCAGAACATACGCCTTGTATCAAAAAGTTTTATTGTAAACTAAAGACGAGCTGTTTATCATCAATCTGCGTTTTTGTCTAATGATTTGTGAAAGTCATTTTGCGTGAAATACAAAGTGTCATGTACGAAATCGGAACGGAACTTCGTAAACAGAAACAATTTTCAACGTTAGAACCAATATAAGGCTACATTAGTATGTAGTACCAGTGGCAGCAGTAGTATTAGTAGCAATTAACAGCATTAGAGTAGCTTGCTTTACTTATAGCAGTAGAATCATTGTAATAGTAGTAATAATAGTAGAATGGATTGATGATTGCATTCCGATATGATGTGAACCCGAAGAATGATGATGTTGTCGTGTGCAGTAATTGCTGAATTGAAAATGAAATTAGTAAGAAAATCTATGACCACAACAATGAAAGAGACCAAAAGCCCTTCTAAAGCAGCATTCCAAGGGCCTCGATTAAGGTGGGATGTGGGAGGATGGTAAGGTTCACGTATTACTCGTATCAACTGCGTACCATACGAAAGCGAACTTAGGACTTTTAAAACGTACTCACTTCAGTGAAACTCCTTAAAACTGTTTTAGCAGATTGAATGACGTCATTACTTTGTACGCATTAGTAATTCAGAAAGTTTTATACAACATATTTAGGTCGCTATATGGCAATAGAGAGTGACAGCTCTAGTTCGTCATCAGACGAGATCCTATTGTGAAACTCGATAAACATATCAACATGTGCAAATTCGTTTGTTGCTATTTCTGTCGATGTGCCATCTCCCTCCCAACTTCTCAAACCTGCTATTTATATGTCTGCAATATTTTCGTACATAATATTTTATTGTCCATAATATTATAATATTAATAGGACGATGTGTCATTGTTGTAGCTCCCTTCTTCTGCTATGCGGTTTCTTTCACCACGTTTAGACGTACATAAGCTGTAACATTCTTTAATAGTAGTCACTACGTTTTATTTCTTTACTTTTCAATCCCACTCGCAAATGTTTTACGGTTTAATGCAATACATAAAAGCATTAAGTATTCGACGTTGAGCAACCACTGATCGATGCGCCATGCATTCGACTCCATTCGTGGCGTCGTAGAGGTGACTGAATGCATATTTGGTCTATAGAATGATTTGCGCTCAACTACTGATGGAAAAAATCAGTATTTTCATATTCTCAAACAAAACTGTTAACAATCTGCCGACCCCGAAGGTATGGAATGGTTAGATTGCTTGGAGCACGTGATAGAATAACAATCACGTGTGCGTCGTAACACACCTCTAACCATTGCGCTAATGTAATATGTAAATTCTTAAATTCTCTACGGGTCTCGTTATGAATTAACCAAATGCCGCTGCTGTGAACAAACTCAAACCATGCATCTAAAACTCGACCAAAGTAAATAAGAAGGGGACATTAAAAACGGTGTCACCATTCTTGACAAACCTAAGAGAGAGTGTAAACGTACGAAAAAATGTTCAATTTTATTTCGCAAGAGAACAAAATCGAAGACCAGCATGATCCATCGTATTAAAATAACCAGCTTGTTGTAGGAAACCGAAATGATCTAAGTTGTCTATTTCAGTTTGTTTATGTGGATGAAGCATGTACTGATCCACTTGTATGCCCGTTATCTACGATATTCAATACTTTAATGGAGTTGGAAAGGGAACATAAATTTAGTGGTTATTTAGTTTTCTAATTTTTCACTTGTCAGTAAAAATATACCCTTCGAGAGCCCTGAGTTTAATGACAACTTCTATCTCTAGTTAAAAAATATGGATGAACATACTCTATTTCATAATCGTGAGTTTACACCTCTTCAAAAGCTATGGTGGTTGCTACAGTAATGTCAGTTGCGAATCAATTAGTACAATTTCCGTAATATAAGATTCTGGAACGAGAAGCTTTTGTGGGCTGTGGTCAGCCTGCTGACACACAACCCAAGAAACAGCAGATGCCGCTCTTAATAATGCTCATTCGATATTCACAAGTTTAACTTATTATTTACTGCCTACTCTTTTTAATGGTAGGGTATATTGCGAAATATAACTTCAATGATGTTAAGATATTTGCAAAACTCCGGACCGCAGGTGTCTGCGGTGGGGAACGAACGCGCTATTATCCTTTCCAGGGAGTAACGTGTTCTCCACCACACTATGCGGGTCCTTCGTTTCGCCTGGCTTTAAATAATAAGCTAAAATTGTGATTATAACTACAGCATCAGCTTAGCTGGATTCGCTGCCGATTTGGAGTCTCCAGATCAATCCCGCTAACGTGATTGCTGATGGCATTGACCGATAGAACTAGCTGAGAGACAGGCGAAACGAAGGACCCGCATGGTGTGGTGGTGAACGTGTTACTCCCAGGAAAAGACAATAGCGCGTTCGTTCCCCACCGCAGACACCTGCGGTCCGGAGTTTTGCAAATATCTCAGCATCATTGAAGCTCATTCGATAATTTACCGATCGCAGATTAAATCACAGATACAAACACATACACATATAAATGAAATATAGCAGAAATAGTATAATTGGCAGGCCACTAGCTTCTTATATATCTATAAAGTAACTGATGTCTCGGAGATTCCATTCGGCAAATGACAGCACTACCGCTGTAGTCTTCTGCTCTACTGGAACATTCTGCCATTGTTTCGATATCATAGTGATTCGCTGACACACTCGTTTTACTTCGTAATCGCCATGGGATCGGCCTGTACAAGCTTTCGATATAAACAGCACTGTAGTTGCGTATTTCGTCATAGGTATGGTAGGTCGATACATGAAGTGGCTGACAAGTGACGATGTGGTGCAATATCGTGTACAGCTCGTGTTCTCAACATCAGCTGCAAGGGCAGTAGTCTTAGCAAGCGCAACTCTGAACGAATGGCATGGAGGATTTCGATCGTTTTTGTTAGATGAGTTGAGCAATGCTAATGCGTTTACGTTTTCTTTTTCTTTCTGGTTTTTGGGCGCCAGAGTTCTCAGAGAGACTGATCGCAAAGGTCAATGCTGCCGAGTTCGAGACCACTGTCGCCGCAATTTGTCGCCATCTATCGCCGCAGGTATGCTGTCGCGCGTCGCCTTTGCACAATCCGCCGGCCGAGTTATCGCAGTACGTTGCGGCACAGCTCATTAACAGAGTTGAACGATGACAGTAACACATTAAACGTCACAACCGGAAAACGGTGGTGATGATGCATGGGGGTGTGACGTTTTCTGTTTTGGTGTTTGTGTGTATATGTGTGTGTGTGTGTGTGTGTGTGTGTGTGTGTGTGTGTGTGTGTGTGTGTGTGTGTGTGTGTGTGTGTGTGTATGTGTATGTGTGTGTATGGCCGGCAGGTTGCTCGGGAATCGATCGCGCCAGCGTCAGCCGTTTTTGCCAATCGATGCGCATCAGGACACACGCAGAACCAGTATGACAATGCTGCCTAGTTTCCACACAGCCATTGAACCCACCGCCGCCGCCGCTGCCGCAGCCGTCTGCACCCCAATCGAGCAGCCAGCCACAACAACGACACATCACAGCGCTGCTGGCTTGCGAGCAGGCCAGTCGATCTAGCTGAGCGTCGAAGATTTGAGCATAAAACATGTTGACTTTACAATAACTACTTAATACGAGGAGACTAAAAACTAGCATATTGGTCTTGTTTTTGGTTTAGTGGATTGCTAGACTAAACCCCAAATCTTTAAAAGCTTATCAAAAGTTCGATATGACCTACCCATCCTAGTAGTCGTTGATGGAAAGCTTTGTTCCGAAAGAAAATGTAGAGAATAAAGTTCAGCAGTCAATGCAACGACGATAACGGTAACAGCAGTGAAAATTCAGCAAGTCAGAGCATTTTGTCGTCAGAGTATAAACACATTCCACATTACCGAGAGCTCAATTCGTGATGAACATTGGAATATGCGTCTAGAAAAAGGACAGAACAACATGCGCCAGGACGGCAGTGTTGATAGCCGTTGTCACCAGCTGCAACCAGCTAACCACACTGCCACCCGGCACGCATGCGTCCCATTCAGCAAAGCAATTGCTGTAATTTGATGAAAGTGTTTAGAAGGTCGAAACTGCTTGTGGTTAGAGAACGTAAAACAGTGCGCATAAGAAGATGATAGTGATGATCAAAAATGCTGTTGAGAGCCACCGTAGAGAACATGAAAATGAACGATGTCGGTTCTGGCTTTGGAAACCGAAGATCTCTAGTAGAACAGCCGACGAAGAGGTCCGCTCATTGAGACTGGCCGACATGGAGACGAATTGGGAAGAGTCATGAGGGACAGCGGTGTCGGGAGGGCGGACGGACCGACGGACGGACGGATGGAAAGGGGCAGAAGGAACACGCGAGATGGCGGGCGAACACTGCCGGCCGGCGGATCAGCTGATCGCAGCCGCGGGGTGGGCGGGTGGAGGCGACGACGCGACGGCGGCCCGCCTGCTAGAGATCAACGATCGTCATGGGCGCCGGTTAGAGACACAGACACGGACAGCGGCGAACGCAGCAGTTTGCACATCAGGTAGATGCATTTTCAGCCCAGATGCATGGAAATGCTGGCAATGGCATGCAGTCAACGACAACGACGACGGAAAGCACAGTAGGAAAGGAAACGTTGAGAAGAACGCTTCGAAAGCTCTGTATTGGTCACATCATCTATTTTCCTCTCTCCTCTCTACTACATTGGACACAGTAGTAGCTAGGGAAACGTGAATCCGTATGCGCAAAGAGCAAATCCAGTTCACGTAACGAGTTTTCGTATATTCCCCAAATGTCCTAATGCTGAAAAAAAAGCTCAGACTTATCGATAACAAAAACTGAGCACATCGAGTCATCATGCCGTCGATCGATTACAATGTATTATCACGAAAATGGAGAAGCTGAATGAATAGATAAGGCTGTGAAGCAAAAAAAAGAAGACTCGATAGCATCATTCCTGCTACTCCGCGCTATGCACTGCTATCTAGTCGGCTTACAGCTGACTCAACACATTTTCTTGTTTTGCAATGCAAACAGTGCTGAAGAATATTCTGCATATAAGTTTTAGATACATAAAAGAAGCCTTTTTCAGTTTCAGTTAGTTAACCTACTGATCGCAATGTTGCACTACACAGAAAGAAAGTGATTCAGATGTTGGTGGTTACCAAGAATTAAACAGTCGTATGCAACTGTTCTCTGATTGTATGTCGAACGTTGATGTTGGCGGTCGGATTCGGAGCATTCGATCGACGTGGGACTTAGCAGAGATTATCAAGTGGAGTTCACATGTTAGCACTGGAAAAATTTCTGAGTTAGCTTAAATGAACAGTGATGAAATATGAATGGTTGAGGCTTATTAGGAACAATTTGAAGAAAGAAATGGCGCGGTTATGGCTGAAGAGTGATAGCAAAAACCGTGAACGGACTTTCATCTTATCGCCACCATTTCGCAATTAATTTTGCCACTGTGATGATGCGTACAACTCGGCAGTTTACCGAGATAATTTTTCGATCAGCTGCTTTATTTTGATGGTCGTGGCAAGAAGCTAGCCTGGCTCAACGGTAAGGCCTACCTATGCCGACGCACAAGATGTTGGGCTCTTCATCAGCAGATATAGAAGTTAACTGTTCTAGCCGAACTAAAGCGAATGACATAATCTCCACACATATAACCACACTATCGTACACCTACATAAAGGGATTGGTGCATGGACTGAAGACGCAATTCATTCTTTGACGCTAGGAACCGAAAGTCCATATTTGAAATCATCTGCTTCGAGACAAATACGCTATCGCTTTTGGGAAGCACTTAACGTCTTATCTACAGGTCAAACAGTTCGGTATCCCTTACTATGCAAAATTACTGCTAGAATATGACGAGATATGCATGTAGTTGCGAAAGGGTCGACATAGTTGTTAGTTCCAATAAAGAGGTCTGTTGCGTTGGAAAAGCAAACAGCGTAGGTGAAGCCATACGAGCATGACATTTTCCAAACCCTATTAGAATACTGGTGCTTTGTGTACGTGATAAAATGCAGCATGATGGTGCAAAGAATTGCATACAAAGAGAACAATGCAGAAACCGAAGAGACAATATTACTGATGAAGATAGCGAAAAAATCCAGCATTAGTGAGTGAATTCGTAAAAAAAACCTGTAAACTCGTCCAAGAGCAATTTTTTCGTTGTTGCAAACAGTTAGCTGAAGGCTTATAAGTCCTGGAACGGACGTTCTTGATGGATTATTATTGGGACGTTAAATGTTTTGAGACCACAGACTTTTTCCGAGTTCGATATTTGGCGAGCCACAAGAAAATTTCTGAAACAGCGCACCAAATTCATTAGATTAGATCGTCAAAGAGGTTTCTGAAATAATGTTTACATCAGCGTTACTCACAAAGTCTGTTAGTTGTAACATTCATATCACCATCATAAGAATAAGGCTGATTAAGGCTACCTCATCTGTGATTAAACTGCCTCAGTTAAAATGGAAATTGCATTCCCACACAGAAAACAAGAAGTAGAGAAAGGAAACCCTTGGTAAAAGCATGTAACGACAAACCGAACTAACAGCTTTTGTAGATGACGGACGACTGCTAGTCCACCACATCAGCACGACAGATGACAGTGGGCGGAGCAGTGTTTGAAATAAATAGCGGCAGATTTTGTGCATGGGCATCCAAATATCGAGCGTATCCGATAGTACCAAGGTCTAAAATACATCAGTGAGATTTTACTTTTTAGAAGACATACAAAGTAAGAATTTCAAGAGTATTTTTGCTCGCTATCCGACGTGAATGTTCCAAATCTACAACGAAATCGATAGGAATCACGCCCTGAGTTCTACATGTTCAGTGTGTCTTGCACACATCCATTAGTTACATAAAACTCTCAACCAGTGCCCAAAGAGACAACTCAGTTTAAGTTTGCAGCCCACGCATATGCGTCAGATAGCGACGCGTGCAAAACATGTCAACATGAAAGTATCGAAAAGAATATAAACAAGTCATAGCCTGATTACGTAAACTCGGTACTACAATATAAACAGGTATCAAATAGAAGCTGTTTTAGATGGCCTCAGTCTACAATTTTACAACTTAGCCATGTATTCGACATCTTTTTCCTGGGAAAAACAGCTAACGATTCCACTCACAACCACTATTTGGCACGACTTCTTGAATTGGTGTGCTCACTAAATAACTACTACCTAACAGCTTATAATCTTTTCTTTTGCAAGGAAATAGAAATAACAAGCAGTCTGAACACCGTTTCATATGTAAATAAAAGACGACAAGCCTTAACCGGCTGTGACCTCTGAGTTGCGACAAGCAGTAAGTCGACGTACATTTTTTTCGCAAACAGTGAGTGGCTAAGTATTTGTGATTCAACCACATTGACGCCATCAAGCTGTGCACATTTGCAAAGATCTTTTGGTCTTGCCGAGTTGGGTTGATAGGTGCTGTCACCTTGAATTTTAGCTCTTTGTGATAGAACCTAATGTTAACTGTAAAGTATGCTATTTGGAACTACTGTAACTGTTGGAAACTTGTAGGCATGGGATTTTTCACTCAGATTCATTTCAGAGCCCGTTCGAATGGACCCTAAGAAGTTATAGGCGATTGATTTCATTAGAGTCTAAAGAGAGTCTCTGTAAGAAATTTTTCTTCTAGATCGGACGAAGAGTCTTTGTATAGTATTTTTGCACATGTAGCTGTGCTAAAGAGAACGCTGGAAATAATGAACAGAGGGAGACTGGGATTTCAAACGAATTCACTTGAGCCGTTTGCTACGAAAAGAAGACTATGGAAGGAGAAGAGAAGAAAGAAAAGAACGAATACAACTTAGTGATAAAACTTTCTAGTAGCTCCATTACACTGATAGTGACCGTTTAACAGCTCCTCTTACGGCCGCTTATTTTTGTTTCGCACAGAAATACGTCTTTGAGTAAATTCTTGTTGTGTCCAGGAAATATTACCCTATACAATCACCAATGGATGGACACCCAATCGTTTCTCATACGTGATGCAAAGCTGTAATTTTCAAATCCAACTGCAGTCACAACTTGATATTAGCTGAAGCATGAAACTAGTCAAAGTTCTTTGGATTTAAGATTTCACGCGTTTTGACTACAATAGTGTCCAATTCTTTTCCTTACGAATAACCTACTGA